TTCTTGTACCAGCTCGCGCGTGTGCTGGTGTCCACCGGCGGAATGAGGCGGACGCCGTGAAACTGGCCGATCTGGTCGAGGATGAAGTGCAACCACAGGCCCGTCTCGCCGACGGCGCACAACTCCGCTTCGAGGTGCCGCGCAGCGTAGCTCTGCTGCAAACGCGCATCCTTGGACGTCTTCGAGTTCCGCGCAGCGATGACCATGACGACCGGCTGGTTCTCCGGGTTCACCAACGAGGTGCTCGCCAGTCGGTACAATAATATGTCGGGGATCGTGATCTCGCGGATGCTTGCGCCGCGCAGGAGAGAATGGTGGGAGAGTAGCGTGAGCACCTTCAACAACAGAAACCGCCACAGCGTCTGCGACGGGCCCGTACCCCGCGGGTTCCAAGCCTTGGCCGCCCACGTCGGCAGCACCCTGAACATGATCTGGCGGAACTGTTCTGCGGTGTAGGTATCGCCAATGGTTCCGCGACGCCGATCGGTGCAGTTACTGCCGACAATGCCGAGGGTAAGGGGCATTTAGGGAGACGTCGACACAGTACATGACAACAAGAGAGTGGTCGACAGAGTTTAAACAAAAACTCACTTGAGGTCCCGCTCGTTCTTGGTGCGGATCATGAACCGCACCTCCGACCTGACCACCGATATCTCACGCATGATGCTCAGCTCCGTCTCCTGGTATATCGTCGCCTCCACTCTCGCCGCCATCTGGCATGCCTTTATGCGCCCGAGGAGCGTGTGCACCGTTGTAGATTGCACAGGCTGTGTTCCTGTGGCGTTGTCGCCCTCCTTGCTAGACTCGGCATCGAGCTTCAACTCCCGAACCATGTACTTCACGTATGCGCGAAGCCGGGACGTGGTGACCCTAGGGCCGTGCAGCCACACGTACGCCCGGGGGACATCGGCCTCTTGGTCCCAGTTTTTCTTCTTGTTGTCCCGGATGTAGTGCCCTATCTCGTCGACGTGCTTAAGCCTGTACTCCTGCGGAAGCTTGTTGCGAATTTGCCTCAACATCTTCGCCGCCCACCTCTTGTAGTGATAGATCCACGAGGTGTACTGCCTCAGCGTGTTCCTCTCCACGGTTTGCAGGTGGCGTAGGGCGTCCAAGACGAGCACGTCGATGGTCGCGTACACCATGTCTTCCTCGACGAAGTCTGCCGCCCTCCACTGTTCGCGCGGCACCGACAAATTCTCCTGGTCGGCATCCTCGTCCTGTTCGAGCAGATCATCTATGTATTCAAGTTCCCGCCTGAGCCGTTCTTCCAAGGTGCGCTGACTAGTGCTACGCGGCGGACGATCGTCGTTTTCGTCATCGCTTTCCTCCTCCTCCTCCTCCCCCCCCATCCTCCTCCTCTTCGACCTCAACCTGGTTTCCAGAGCCGGCCGGTGCCGACGAAGTTCCTGGCCGTCCATTTCGCGTCGGAATCTGTTTGTTATTCTTGTTAAACTCCCCGATCGGCGGTGGGGGAATCTCCTTGGTGAACTCCCCTTCTGGAATCTGCGTCAGCTTGTCAAGATCGTAGAGTAAGGGGAGCGTCTCTTCCTCGATAGATGTCGGACTGTGGTCGGTGGATGGTCTAGCGTCAGTCATGTCGACGTCGGCCATGTGGCAGCACGTATGTTGCTCTACCGTCGTCCGTGTGCGATGCGGAGGTCGGTAAACCAGAGACGGTACTGATTCACGGGTGCGGTGTACGACCGAAGAGTAGCGCGGCGGTCTTCCTCTAGATAACGTTCAATAACGTCTAACTCGTGTTCGACCTCCAGATTGCGGGGGTTGGTAAACCAAAGACGGTACTGAGTCACGGGTGTGGTGAACGCCCGGAGAGTTGCGCGGCGGTCTTCTTCGAATTCTCGGTCGAGTGAGTCTAACTCGGCTTCGACCTCGAGCCGTTCCAGCTCCGCTTTGATGTCGGCGTCTACAGAGTCGGCGGGGGTTGGAATGGGTTGCGGCTGTTGGGCTCTAGGGCGACCTCTGGCCATGCGTCGCCGACTTGCACCGATGTTTCGCTAAAACTGCAGACGTAGACATCGACTACTACTGACCAAGTCGGCAACCGAGTAACCTACAGGCGCGATGACAGACTGGCAGCTGGAAATTCGAAGTGCACGAGAGAGCAGGAAGAAACGCAGGAACGGACATGGGAATGAGCAGGCCCGCACGGTCACGGACGGGTATGGTCCTGAGCGACTCCGATGCTGCCGCGCTTCACGCACACCCCTATGCTACTGCCGCCGTGCATGTGTTCTCGCATAGGCGGCGCACTGCCCGAAGTGCCACGTGCCAAGCATGGCTAATGTTACTTCGCGCTGCACCGAAGGGGCGTAAGCCAGGCCCTTTCCACGGTGGAATGGGCGTGTGTTACGTGGCTTGGGGCCGACATTAGCCTCTCAGTACCGAAATTACAGCATGCCGACTCGAATCTCCCAAGCCCACCGTGGCAGTCCTAGCGTGGGCGCCCGAAGATCGGCGCCGACTTACAATCGGCGCGCTTGATTGTTTCTTTAGGTTCATTGAACCTAGACAGTGTTGAGATTGTGCCGCGTGGCTTGGTTGTGGGCCTTTGGATGAATTGGTCGACATCGACATCGCGTGCAACACGCGATGCCACAGAACAGTTACACCCTGGACGGTCCGAATTTTGCCGCGTGGATCGCGCTCTGACAATTTCAAAGGTGTGAACGTTTTCCCGCTTTGGGAAAATCACCGCTGGAGCGACGCGTGGCCACGACGTGGCCGTCGTGGCAGCCTAGTACACGGTGGGGACGGGATGATATACCCCCTATTGGTCCGCGTGGCGGCCGTCGCGGCTTGACGTGGCGAGCTGTCCTATTTTGTCCGCTGAGATTTACTTCTCAGGAATTTCCCAGCGCAAACCTATGTCGTCGGATTGTCGACATTCCCGAGGGCTCCCGAGGCCCCTGGGACGCCATTTGGGCCCAGTGTGGAGCTCGGAGGTCGTCGCGAGCTCGTCAATCCCGAGGGGGGCCGTTGTCCCTTCTGAACCGCGAAAGTGGGCGGCGTTTTTTCGTCCGCTGAGGTATATCATCCCAAACCATGCAGCGCTGGCCCGGCCGAGTCGGCCTACGCTTCGGGGCTAGCCCGAACCTCGATGCCAGCCTAGCACCAGCTAGCTAGCTCGCACGCACCGCGTAACCGTTGCATGTTTTCGCACATAAGCATTCGCTCATGCCTTCGCTCAAACTTTGTACTTTTGACCCACATAAGCCCTGTTCGGCTGCACTTTGGCTGCCAAGCTCATCTGACCAACAACACAACAAACCGGAACGACAATGGAGCCTCGGTCCGAAGCTCAACTAGCTAGAATACAAAACCATCGTGGGTTACTGTTCTACCCTTCCAGCTGTGCAACCAGACACGCAAACGTGGGCCTGCTCTCGCATGTTGGCCGCAGCAGACAACAACCAATACAGCACATTTCTAAACCCAACAAACACAACTCCCAGCACATTGCTTCGAGGAACCTGGTCAATGACTTCCAGGAAAGCGCACAATTTGTGATCTAGCCCAATCAGCTGTCTGGATGAAGCTCACAATGAAATAGCAACCATGCTCACCCACGTTGAGAGCAGGATTAGCACCCAACCAAAAACCTGTTAGAAGCGGTTCGCCGCTGCACCGATTCTAGAGCATGAAAACGACAGAACAGGACACTTGGAAATTGCCTTACCTATGGCGGTGGGAGAGAATAGGCTGGAAAACGAGTTCTGACGGTGGGAGGAGCTAGCTGAGAAGATCGTGAGGAGCAGCTGGTGAAAACAAGGGTTTCAGGAGAGAGAGAGGGAAGAACGTTCTCAACCGCCAGAATTTTTCCAACCATTCCGGAGGCGGTGTTCGGTGGAGTTGAAGAAAGTCGGTTTCAACGACGGTTCAGTTTGAATTTCGGTTTTCAACGTCGGTTACTGTTACAAAATTCGGATTCGCGACAAGGCGCGTTACACGAGGCTCCCTTGGAAATTCGGATTTCGGATTGCTTAAATATCATGTTCTGTTTTCCTCATTGTATCAATTTTTCATAGTGAAACTTTCTGTTTGCAACCTGGGTTGGAAAGCAACCTGTTTGTACAACTTTCAGTTCAAGTTTGAAGCCCGCTACTGCTGTTTTTGTGACCTCTAAGTCACGTACTCACGACGTCCTAGTCTAAGAGCTGGTATCAGAGCTGGTTCTAGTGTGTTTCAAGATGGGCCAAGACAAGTTCCTGCATCATGCCGAATGGGGATGGTGAGGCAAGCTCGGGTTCTTCAGTCAGTGCTGAAGTTCCCCAAGTCCAAGCCCTCTTGGAGGCCCTTACACAAGGGCACGTGGTGGCCAGGCCAACGATTGGCCTGAGCGAGGCGCAACGGTTCAATGGCAACAACTACAGCACATGGCGACTTAAAGCCCGCATGCAAAATAGTGACCCCCCCCCTTCTAGTTGGGTCCACTAGAAAGCTCCTGAAAATTTCCAGAAAGTTAGGTGTTTTTTTCCGAACAGGGCAAGTCCCGAAGTAGTAACAAGACCGATTTGAAGTTGTTTCCAACTTCTGATACGACCAGTTGCAACATGCACAAAATTGTCGCAAGCTTGCTATGACATTTCCACTTCTCCCACCCATCCAAATCCGCATCGAGCACAACACATCACAAATTTCACAACGGAACCTGCCACCACACACGCAGCATACACACAATGTTGAGCTAACGAACAACACAGAGTGATGCAAGTAGCAAACAGAAGAACGACAAGGTGACTCGAGAGGAGAGAGAGGGGCCGACAGGAATTAGAACGGTAAGGGAGGGGGTATAGCGAGGGCGATTTACCGCACAATGGGGGAGATCGCGGGCGACGGAAAATGGAGTAGATCGCGTAGGCGACTGCAAATGGGGGGTCGCTATGAGATCGCGTGGGAGATAGCGAGCGCGACGGGGAGAGGGGGGAGAAGCAGCGAGTGCGACGGGGTGAAGGGGGGCGATAGCGACGGCGCAGAACGTGATGGGAGATAGCAACGTGAGCGCGATGGTGACGGGAGGGAGGAACGTGAGGGCGATGCTGATGGGAGGGGAGGACGTGAGCGATAGGAGATGAAGTGGGGAAGGAGAAAGGCGACGGGAGGGAGAGCGCTAAGGCGATGGGAGGGAGAGCGGACAGGCGACGGGAGAGAGAGCGCGAAGGCGAAGGTAGGGAGGGCGGACAGGCAACAGGAGGGAGAGCGCGAAGGAGACGGGAGGGAGGGCGCCGACGGGAGGGAGAGCGCGAAGGCGACGGGAGGGAAAGCACGAAGGCGAGGGGAGGGAGGGCGGACAGGCAACGGGAGGGAGAGCACGAAGGCGAGGGGAGGGGGAGCGGACATGCGACGCGAGAGAGAGCGCGAAGGCGAAGGGAGGGAGGGCGGACAGGCAACGGGAGGGAGAGCGCGAAGGAGACGGGAGGGAGGGCGCGAAGCCGACGGGAGGGAGAGCGCAAAGGCGACGGGAGAGAGAGCACGAGGGCGAGGGGAGGAGGAGCGGACAGGCGACGGGAGAGAGAGCGCCAAGGCGACGGGAGGGAGAGCAGACAGGCGACGGGAGGGGGAAGGGATATCGCGAGGGCGACGGAAGGAAAAGGGGGACATCGAAGGCAACGTGAGGGAAGGGAGATAGTGAGGGCGACGGCTAGGAAGAGGGGACATCGAAGGCGAGGGGCGGGAGAACGGGAAGGCGACGGGATCGGAGGGAAATCGCGAGGGCGAGGGGACAATAGGGGTGAACGGGAGAATAACGGACCGGGAGGGGAGACCGTGACGTTGACGGGAGGGCCGTCACGCGTGTGTTTGCGAGGGCGACGGAAAGGCGACGGGACGGACTAGAGAGCGAGGTGACGGCGGACCCCACTAGCAATGAGCAAATTGATGATTGCGCGAGACGGGAAACTGGCACGGCCGCGTAAACCTACATTTCGCACTCTTGCTAAGTCGACGATTGACGCACTCGTCGGTAATTACGTGGATATGACACGAACGCCTGTGCTTTCAGCTATACTACTTACTATGCTATGCGGAAACTAGTGATGAATGGAGTGACAGAAATCTAGTAATGCACCCACCACCAGCTTGAAAATGAGGTTGGGCCTGCGATGGGAAACCATCGCCTGGGGTTTGTCGTGCGGATGCGGCACGCAAAAATGCGACGGCTGAAATGAGAAAGAAAGTTCATTTTGGCGGGAACCATTACGTTCCATTGTGGCGAGAGCCAATAACATGAGTTCACTCTGCTCATACAAATCGTTTGAAACAGTGTTTTTGATACTGGTTTCATCCTCACTTGCAACTCCTCATTCAAGTTGGGACGGGGGTCACTATTTTGCATGCGGGCTTTAAGTTCATGCGGAGGGCAAGAGAAGTTGATATCTGGCCCTTCTACAAAGCGGACGAGGAGACTGAGGAAGGAGTACCTCCACCTGCAACGGCAACGGCACAAGAAAAGAGGACATACAAGAAGAAGAGTTTGCAAGCTTTCTTCCAACTGTGTCACTCAGTTTCGGACTCCATCGCTGTGGGGCTGGACCAGTTTGCGGACGACATCAATTCAGCACAACGTGCATGGGCATACATGGAAGCGGTATATCTCGGACGGACCGACACGAATCTGACTGCAATGAGAAAGAAACTGCTGCTGCTCGCAATGGAGCCAATGGAGAAGATCATTGACTTCGTGAATCGAGCCAAGAGCTACAACGACGATCTCACTGCAATGGGGGCGCCCGAATCAGAGAAGCACATGATGGGATACATCATCAGCGGCCTACCCAAGGAGTGGACAGCAGAAATCGGAATCCTTACCTGCAACACGCCCAAGGACATGACCCAGCTGCTCGAGACCCTCCAAGCGCTGGAGCTGGTCAAATCTGACCTGAAACGGAGGGAAGCAGTGGCAACAGTAGCAGAAGAGAACAGGCCTGCAAATTTGAATGCAACTGCAACTTCAAGGATTGTTGGCAGCTGCTGCCACTGCGGGAAGAAGGGGCACAAAGCTGCGGACTGTTATTCCAACCCAAATGCAAGAAACTACAAAGGGAAAGGGCGCTGGCAGCAAAACATCGAGACGGGACACGGAGAAGGCTACAAGGCAAGCGGAGGATTCAATGGAAACTGCAACCATTGCGGCAAATATGGGCACAAGGCTTCCGACTGCTACAACAACAAAGCTAGCAAAAACTACAGAAGAAAGGAGCTGCAACAAAGGCCAGCAGCAGTGAAGACAAATGTAATGGAGGTACCTGCAGCTGTGGATGACACGACAAAGGTTGACGCTATTCTTGGAGGCGCCCACAAAGCAAACGTCGCTCGAGCATCCGAGTTGTGCCTGCTGTCAAAAGGATTCAAGGAGAAGGCTTGGTTTATGGACAGCGGGTGCACACAGCACATGACGCACCGAGCTGATTGGCTACGCGACTACCGGGAATCCGGAGTCCCTTACGTCCTACTCGGGGATGAAGGAAAACTTCAAGTGCAAGGAGAAGGGGACCTGATTTTACAGAGTCCTTATGGGGAGCTGAAAATGGACAACGTTCTCCTGGTGGAGAAGCTGTCCCTTAACCTGATAAGTCAAACGCAACTGGACAGCAGTGGCTGCAAGACGTTCAGTGACAACGGAAAGCTGTGGGTGTTCGGTCCCGACTGGCAACTGCTAGCGGAAGGCGCACGGACTCAAGGACTCTACGAGATGAATCTGAAGGAGCAAGATTCGCATGAAGACAAGGTCACCTATCAACCTGAACCTGAAGAAGGGAAGAAGGCCCGAGAAGAGCTACGTACCATGCTGGAAAATACTGCAGTGACCGAGCTGCAGCAGTTGAAGCTTCCCGTGGCAGCAGCAGCGGAAGCGGTTGATATCAATCTCCTGCACAAAAGGATGGGGCATGCGAACACTCAACGGATCAAGGAAATGATGAAGAAAAACATGGCAGCGGGAGTGAAGGTGACTGGAGCTGAGGAAACCCATACGAAGCGCGACTCATGTGTTGAAGGAAAAGCTACAAAGGCTCCCCATCCAAGACATGGACCGAATGAGCCATATGGGGCAATGGAAGTGGTGGCAGCGGACGTATGCGGTCCAATGAGGGTCACATCACGACATGGCAGCAGATACTTCATTACATTCACGGACATCGGCACAAGACTCACATGGGTGACGGAGATCAAAGACAAAATGCAAGTTTTACCGAGTTTCATTGATTGGTTGGCGGAAGCTGAAAGACAAAGCGGCAAGCAGCTGAAAGTTCTCCGAACCGACAACGGTGGGGAATTCATCAATAAGGACTTCAACGACTACCTCAAAGCCAAGGGAATACGACGGCAGCGTACTATTCCCCACACCCCCCAACACAACAGCATTGCGGAACGGGTGAATAGGACGTTGCTCAATAGCGTGCGGAGCATGCTGGCGGACAGTAAGCTACCTCTGACCTACTGGGGAGACGCACTAGGCATGGCCTGCTGGCTGAAAAATCGCCTACCAACAAAAGGACTTGCAGCAGAGATGACCCCTCATGAAGCATTCTACAAGCGGAAGCCTAACCTGAAGTTTCTTCGAGTATGGGGCTGCATGACGCAGTACAGGCCCCCTGCTGGAGCTGATCACAAACTCCTGCCAAGAGCACGTTAGGGGGTGCACTTAGGAACATGCCCGGAGAGCAAAGGCTGGATTATCAAAGACGTGGAGACTGGGATCATGCTGGCGACCAGGGATGTCACATTCTACGAAAACCTCAACTACGTGGACTGGAAGACAAGCAACAAGGGCACAACTCCAGGGACAGCACCTGCCACACCTCAACGAGCGGAGGAACTGCCTGACGATGCCCAAAACGAAGGCTTGGGGACAGCGAACAACGAAGGGGAAGAAGAACATACCCAAGCTGGAGTGGATTGGGTGTGGGAGCCATCGGAGGATAACCTCGACAACAGTGACATGGAAGCGACGCCTACAACTCCACTTCTGCCAAAATCAGCGAGCGACAAAGATGGAGACATTGGAGAGGATGAAGCTGAACAAGCAGATCAGTCAAGTACTGAGGGGAAAAGCGACCCGTGGGAATTTTTCGAGACAAGCAACAATGACAAAGGAGCTGCAGAGATCGACAACTTGCTGCAGGATGGAGCCATTCTAATTGGGAGAGAGGAAGGCGGCACAAGCACGGAGAAAGCAGGGGAGATGGCAGCAGACACGGGTGCAAGTGATGCTTCGGTGAAAGGAGAGGAGCTGGGAAGGGGGAAGCGGACGAAGAAACCGAATCTGAAATACCAACAGGTCCTGATGACATGCTGGAAAGACGTACACTCTCACCTCCTTCTCACCTCGACGGCGACCGCGTTGATCACCAAGGAAAGGAGAGAGACCTACAAGCTGCCATCAGAACCCCTGACCATCGAGGAAGCACTTTCTGGACCATACAAGGAGCAGTGGAAAGCGGCTATACAAGAGGAGTTGGACGCTCTCGCGGAGAGAGGCACGTGGAAACTCGTCCAAATGCCCGAAGGGAGGCACGCCGTTGGCGTCAAGTGGATTTTCAAGATAAAAACAGGGGATAAGGGGCAGCTGGAGAGGTTAAAAGCACGGCTGGTGGCAAAGAGTTACACGCAAGTGGAGGGGATCGACTACACGGAGACATATGCCCCTGTCAGCAAATTGACTACAGCACGGACACTCTTCAAGATCGTTGTGGCACGCAACTACATCATGGTTCAACTTGACATCAAGAACGCTTTCCTCTACGGAGAGCTTCAAGAAGACATCTACATGGATCAACCTACAGGAATGGAGGACGGGACTGACAGAAAATGCAAGCTGTTGAAAGCACTCTATGGGCTGAAACAAAGCCCTCGAGAGTGGTACAGGGCTATGGATGCACGCCTACTCGAAGGAGGATTCCAGAAAAGTCAGTGCGACAGAGCGTTTTACTGGAAAGGGGAAGGGGAGGAGAAAGTCTACCTCCTACTCTACGTCGACGACATCCTAGTGGCTGGAGCTTTGGAGGACAGAGTTGAGGAGGTGTGTGCTCACCTTGCAGCCGTGTTTCAAGTGAAGCAGATTCCGCGAGCCACGTTGTTCCTTGGCATGAACCTGGAGCGGGATCGAGAAGGAAGGAAGCTGCTACTTTACCAAAAGAAGTACATCCAACGGCTGCAAGAACGATTTGGGACACCAGGCTGCACCAAGGCCGTGACAACTCCGCTCAGCGGCCTCTCGGAGAAAGAAATCAATCCTGAAGAAGAACTCATTCAATGGGGCAGCAAGGAACGAGCATTGAAGGCTTACCAGTCACGCGTCGGATCGGTGATGTACCCCGTCTCTTGTACGCGGGTAGATGTCGCACATGCTGCCAGCTTCTTGGGGCAGAACGTGCTGCAGCCAGAGGGCCGCAAATGGAAGGAGATGCAGCGCACAATCACTTATCTGCAGCAACGGGGAGAAGAAGGGCTACTATACGAAGGCGGAGAAGAAACAATGGAGTTAATCGGATATGCTGATGCATCCCATGCATCAGATAAGAAGGACAGGAAGGGAGCTTATGGATACGTCTTTCTCCTAGGCGGGACAGCAATCACATGGCAAGGGAAGAAGCTGAACGACATTGCACTCTCGAGCACGGAAGCGGAATA